CTCTTTCTTTGCTAACTCTTTCTGTGACTAACTCTTTCCCTCACTAACTCTTTATTTGACCAACTCTTTCCCTGACTAACTGTTTCTTTGCTAACTCTTTCTTTGACTAACTCTTTCCCTGACGAACTCTTTCTTTGCTAACTCTTTCTGTGACTAACTCTTTCCCTCACTAACTCTTTCTTTGACGAACTCTTTCCCTGACTAACTGTTTCTTTGCAAACTCTTTCTTTGACTAACTCTTTCCCTCACTAACTCTTTCTTTGACTAACTCTTTCCCTCACTAACTCTTTCTTTGACTAACTCTTTCCCTGACGAACTCTTTCTTTGCTAACTCTTTCTTTGACTAACTCTTTCTTTACTAACTCTTTCCCTGACTAACTGTTTCTTTTTGCAAACTCTTTCTTTGACTAACTCTTTCCCTGACATTCTAAAAGTCCGTAACACGGAAGTTTCTCCCCCTAAACTTCCTTGATATGGGATTTTATAGTGATTCAATGGGATATGAATGGGATTTTATAGTGATTCAATGGGATATGAATGGGATTTTATAGTGATTCAATGGGATATGAATGGGATTTTATAGTGATTCAATGGGATATGAATGGGATTTTATAGTGATTCAATGGGATATGAATGGGATTTTATAGTGATTCAATGGGATATGAATGGGATTTTATAGTGATTCAATGGGATATGAATGGGATTTTATAGTGATTCAATGGGATATGAATGGGATTTTATAGTGATTCAATGGGATATGAATGGGATTTTATAGTGATTCAATGGGATATGAATGGGATTTAATAGTGATTCAATGGGATATGAATGGGATTTTATAGTGATTCAATGGGATATGAATGGGATTTTATAGTGATTCAATGGGATATGAATGGGTTTTATAGTGATTCAATGGGATATGAATGGGATTTTATAGTGATTCAATGGGATATGAATGGGATTTTATAGTGATTCAATGGGATATGAATGGGATTTTATAGTGATTCAATGGGATATGAATGCGATTTTATAGTGATTCAATGGGATATGGATGGGATTTTATAGTGATTCAATGGGATATGAATGGGATTTTATAGTGATTCAATGGGATATGAATGGGATTTTATAGTGATTCAATGGGATATGAATGGGATTTTTATAGTGATTCAATGGGATATGAATGGGATTTTTATAGTGATTCAATGGGATATGAATGGGATTTTATAGTGATTCAATGGGATATTAATGGGATTTTATAGTGATTCAATGGGATATGAATGGGATTTTATAGTGATTCAATGGGATATGAATGGGATTTTATAGTGATTCAATGGGATATGAATGGGATTTTATAGTGATTCAATGGGGTATGAATGGGATTTTATAGTGATTCAATGGGATATGAATGGGATTTTATAGTGATTCAATGGGATATGAATGGGATTTTATAGTGATTCAATGGGATATGAATGGGATTTTATAGTGATTCAATGGGATATGAATGGGATTTTATAGTGATTCAATGGGATATGAATGGGATTTTATAGTGATTCAATGGGATATGAATGGGATTTTATAGTGATTCAATGGGATATGAATGGGATTTTATAGTGATTCAATGGGATATGAATGGGATTTTATAGTGATTCAATGGGATATGAATGGGATTTTATAGTGATTCAATGGGATATGAATGGGATTTTATAGTGATTCAATGGGATATGAATGGGATTTTATAGTGATTCAATGGGATATGAATGGGATTTTATAGTGATTCAATGGGATATGAATGGGATTTTATAGTGATTCAATGGGGTATGAATGGGATTTTATAGTGATTCAATGGGATATGAATGGGATTTTATAGTGATTCAATGGGATATGAATGGGATTTTATAGTGATTCAATGGGATATGAATGGGATTTTATAGTGATTTAATGGGATTTAATGGGATTTATAGTGATTTAATGGGATTTATAGTGATTTAATGGGATTTATACTGATTTAATGGGATTTATAGTGATTTAATGGGATTTAATGGGATTTATAGTGATTTAATGGGATTTATAGTGATTTAATGGGATTTATAGTGATTTAATGGAATATTAATGGGATATACCATCTGGAAATGTAACAGTCTGCTATTGAAAATTGCCCAGTCGAAATAGTGGATTTGCCCATTGAAAATGGTGATTTTCCATAGTTATGTTAGTTTACCAGAGGGTAACCAAAAAAAATTGGGCGGTTTCATGGGGAACAAAGGGGTAGATGTTTTTTTTTCCGGACCCTCTGGTGATTTAAACTGGAAAATCACCAGTGTTCAATAGCTAAATCATCATAAATGATCTAAATAGGCAATTATCCATAGCTATCTTAAATAACCAAAGGGTAGTAGCTATATCAAGGAGTAACATGATAATCAAATATGATCTATAATGTTTACCTTAATGGATAGATTTACGGTAAAATCGTAACTGGAAACCTACGTTACATACATCATATTATAGAGTTAATAATATAGTTATATATATATATATATTATATTTATATGTAAATCTGATAAATTATGCTGATTCACTGACCTAACATATAACATGTTCAGCTATTTTGCGATAGTTACTCGTACTAACCTTCATTCCAGTGACGTCGCGACGTGAGATCATTCTAATTTTGGCAGATCAATGGATGTAACCATGGTAATAGCATGTAATAACATGTAATAACCACTATAAACTGAGGTATAAGCCCTGGAAACTATGTCAATCTATCCACTTATTCACTGGAACTGTCCCTAAAAAAGTACCATCTGGTAATCAAATATGGCTTGCTGGGAAATCTCACATTTAGTTCGATGATTTCCCTATGAGAGCACCATTTATAGATGATTTTCAATTGCCATGTTTGATTAGCGGAGGGTAGATATAGTATGATATAGTGGATATGATAGGGGTGTTCACCATCAAAAAAATCGTTGTAACTTAACATTTTAAAACATATTCCATGATTTTTACCCACCATGAGGATATAGTAGGACATATAACCAACAGCGATTTTTTACCACAAACGTTGGGATAGACTGTGGTAGCCTATTCAGAATAGGGATTTGACATGATTTAACTTACCAACAAACACTGGGGGAACTAGGGTTCTGTACCCCCAAATGGCCATATATAGTTGGCAGTACGACAAAACCCATGGTAGATGCCAATGATTAGTGTAGACGTTGTGTAGATGACTACAATGACCAGGATGTAATGGTTATAGTTATAATGTTTATAAAATAATATAAAATATACAATTGGTAGGTTCCAAAAAAGATGATGGTCAGTCTTGTGGATGACGCGTTGTGGCTAGGGCGTACCTGGAAGGCGTTTCCACTGGCTTGGGAGTCCCGAAAGCAACTATAGTAACTATCCGAATCAGCCAACCAGGGTTCTCCTGCCATTAACAATTCTGGAGGAGTAAAAATAGAGATTTAACATGATTTGACATATACAACTCTATTTAACCATCAAAAATAAGGAAATTGGAGGGTTTCTCACTGGTTGAATTCGCGCCTAGCTGGAGCTTTGGTGATGGCATGATTCGGCAGCATGACGTAACCTGAGAGCAGCGAACCGCCTATGAACCGCTTCGGGTTTCTGCGAGCTGCAGGGGCTGGTCATGGAACTTCCAGCCCAGCAACGTTCATCCACCTTGCCCACCACAATGCCGGTGTAGCCCGCCATGGCCACGTGCACGGCATGCGCTCCCAGGACGCTGCAGTACACCTTGGTGACGGGAAGCGTATCATCACTTGTTTATCAGCTAAAGGTGGCTTAACCCTTGTATCAACACTTAACCAACCAGCAAGTGGAAAAGGATATCTATATAATCTAACTTAATTACATCTATGTTATGGTTAAAGTTTAGGGGTTCCCTTCTAATTACTTGCAGATATTGCAGATCGTCCCCCCCAAAAACACGGGGAAACCGGGGAAACCCACCAATTTCTCGGTAAAGCGCTCAACTTGACATTGGGATGGCGGAGAACAACACTGATGTTGAGCAAACATGGGGCGCTCAACAAGCATTGACATAACCAACAAGAGTGGCGATACAACCCACAGTGAGTACTAAATCTCGAAAGGCCAACAACATCACACTAGGAACAAACAGTACAGGCAAGAATAGCGAGAAAACTGCTACGAGAACAGGGGAAAATCCTCCCACAATTGACAGTCAAATGATGGATTGACTTGGAAGCCCCTTGACTCCTTCGATCATCCCCCAAAGTAAATCCAGCCACCTGGCATGTGATTCCCCCTACTGTAACCAACAACATATGTGGCTTCGTTGGCAAGCGAGGTTGTATCCCAGCTATATACTTCCATAAAACTTCCATTGAAGCCCCTATGATAGTCCCCTCAAAATCCCATGATGATTAATACTCAGCATAAATCAATATAATTAACTACATACTGTAATATATAACTCATAATTTTAACCCCACGATCATAAGAAATCATAAGAAGTGATAAAGGCATATATAAATGTATACTGGTTGTGGTTTCAACCCCTCTGAAAAATATGAGTGAATTGGGATGATTATCCCCAATATATGGAATATAAAATATGAGTATATCAGTATATAATTATCATAATATGGGCTTCATGGGGTTGAAGCCCCATGCCCCTCCCGGCCCGTCACTCGACGTGACAACCCTCACGGCCAACCGACGCTGTCGTTGGTGTTGGCCGGCACCGCCCGGATGGTGTAGGTCCTTAGGCATCGGGGTCGGGCTTTTCCAGATCCTGGGGCCTGATCTGGGTCGGTTTCAGAGAAGAAGACATAAGACAACAATAGACAACATAAGAAGATCATGGGTTTCGACATGTTCTACCATGATTTTATATTATTTTATATTTCAACCTGAGTCACCATCAAAGAAAGGGCTTCCTGTCGAAATTGTCCTTCATTTCGACTGGCGGCACTAGTGTTCACGTATGGTGACGCACCTCAAGAAAGATAGCGATGCAAATCACCATCAAAACTTATCTAAATTTTCTATTAACAAGATAGAGATGTAAACTACCAAAACATGTTGTCTATCTCTTCTGGGGCCTCTGGGGTATATAGGTTGTTGTTAGGGATGCTCACCAAAGCAACAAACCAACCACTGTACGTTCGGCCCTCTCTACACCGTTAAACTGACGGCCCCAACTTCAAGTCCCCAAAGCATCCCACAAAACGAAGAACATCCTTGGTTTTTTCCAAGGTATGGAGATGAGTATAGCTCAAATAGCCATTGACACACACACACTGGTGATCACACACACGATCACACACACACAAAAAACTATTGACACACACACACATATTTATATGTATATATATAATTATGTAGCCTAGTAATGTCTAGTAACTCTATCAAAAAATACTTATATCATCTTATATCCCAATTTTACAGTATAACATGCTATAACCCATTCTTATAGATCATTTAATTAAACCCCAATTCTCATCCTTTTTGTAACTGTTCTTGCCACTCCCACCACGCCGGCAAGATGCGGATCGATGTACTTGATGGTCAGGGGCTGCTGCATCCTGGCCGCATATAGTGCAGGGTCCTCAACTACCTCCAGTAAACATAGAAAAAGTATCAAAAGCAATGGACATCCATGGCTTTCCCTAGGAAATGACCTGGAAATGATGGATTTTCATGGATTTTCTGATTATCTGTGGTAGTTTGATGCAGGTCTCAGAGTCTTTTCACATACCGCGGCAGCTGTGTGATCTCAAAATTCGTCCCCCTAACTACGACTCACTTTGCACTGAAGTGGCAAGCCACTCAGAGCTCATAGTCTGCCAGCACTTTGCCGGCGGCGCAGCCCATACTCCTCTGCCAGCGGTGCCTCTCGTCGAGTCATCATGAATCATCTACGCAGTAGCTCCCTGCGATGCCAACCATGCCTCTAAGGAGTTCACATCATGGCGCATAGGGTCTCGCATGCCACCGCACTGCTGGTCACAATACACCCACCAAGATTCCTTGGAAGACATGTTGGTCCTCTGAAGATGCTTCACTTTGTCCACCAGGGCCTGCTTCTGCGCGCTGGTGTCCATGTCAAAGCGCCCCTGCTTGGCAGGCATGCCTGCAGGGCTAGCTGCGCCTCCTGTTGCTGGTCGCTTTGTGCCGCCACTCTGGCCGACCACCTCTTCCAGGTTGATGCCCTGTGACGATGCCAAAGCTGACAATCCATTCGCAGCGATCTCTCCGACATATTCAATGAAGCTCTTGGTGAAGGAATCCTCGTGTTTGGATGGGTCATTGATGCCACCTCCATAAAGGGCGCAGTATGTCTGCCATGCATTGGTCCAATGCTTGGACTGGCGCTGACCAGTCTTCACAAAGTCACCTAAAGAGGCTCCTCCGCCACAGCCGAAGTTGCCTGGACCACCAGCTTGACCTCCCATCATGGGATCCCAAGATCCTCCACCACCCATCATGTCATAGCCCTTGCCGCCTCCCCAGCCGCCGCATGCTCCATACGGATTTCCATGTGTATCGGGTCTGGGTTCCGAGGGAGGGATGCCGCCCGAGTTGTAGAGGCTGAGGAAAGTCGCGAGGGTGCCTTCATCATGTCGATTGGGATCTTTCACACCTCCTAAATGCATCTCGCAGTAGTCCCACCAGGTCTGCCTTCCATAGGGATCTGACCGCTGCATGCCCTTGATCTGCTCAACTAGCCCAGCCTTTCCCGACATTTTGAGAAGTCTTGGGCTATCTATGGCAGTACCGGGTGCCCTTGAGTTCAAGACTCCGGGCCGGGTCTGTGGCCAAAATGGCAACGGTCTGTAGCAAACAGCATCAAATCGGTGTCTGAAAATGGGAGATGCCACCAATCATATCCAGAATTCGAATGGGGAGCATCATGGTAAACCACCGGGTGGTTTTCTCTTCCCCCATTTTCAGACAAACAAAGGGACATGATGACATGCGTTTGTAAATGGCGATGCTTCAGAGTACTTGCCCTGTCAACATCTGTCAACCGAAAATAGATCAGTTCAATCTGTGAGCTGCAATGCCAAGCGGCACTGCCATGACAACAACTGCGGCACCGCGAAGCCCACATCTTTTTATCCTCTTCCCTCGTTCATTGCACGCCTCGTTCAACTTGCGGATGTGTTAAGTCTGTTAAGTATTTGTAGTGAAGAATGTTGCGCATGTCAAACTTTGTGAGGCCATGTTGCTTTGGTGTTTTGGAAGCGTGTGAGCTTCTTCTTTTTATTCAAATCAAGTATGTACAGTACAATGCATATCTTTTTATGGATTTTGCATGGTGCTGTAGGATGCTGACTGTACTGTTGCAAATAGTCAACTGAACCTGAGCTTTCCATGTTTGCTTCACTCCGCTCTCACAAGTGGCTGTCGTCCTGTGGGTTTAGCGGGCGCAGCCAAGGACTTTTTGGACGCCTTCTCCACCTATGCTTCATAAAGGCCATCTACCAAATGACTCATCGGCCATCTTGGCATCAAATCATCATGAATCATCTACGCAGTAGCTCCCTGCGATGCCAACCATGCCTCTAAGGAGTTCACATCATGGCGCATAGGGTCTCGCATGCCACCGCACTGCTGGTCACAATACACCCACCAAGATTCCTTGGAAGACATGTTGGTCCTCTGAAGATGCTTCACTTTGTCCACCAGGGCCTGCTTCTGCGCGCTGGTGTCCATGTCAAAGCGCCCCTGCTTGGCAGGCATGCCTGCAGGGCTAGCTGCGGCCTCCTGTTGCTGGTCGCTTTGTGCCGCCACTCTGGCCGACCACCTCTTCCAGGTTGATGCCCTGTGACGATGCCAAAGCTGACAATCCATTCGCAGCGATCTCTCCGACATATTCAATGAAGCTCTTGGTGAAGGAATCCTCGTGTTTGGATGGGTCATTGATGCCACCTCCATAAAGGGCGCAGTATGTCTGCCATGCATTGGTCCAATGCTTGGACTGGCGCTGACCAGTCTTCACAAAGTCACCTAAAGAGGCTCCTCCGCCACAGCCGAAGTTGCCTGGACCACCAGCTTGACCTCCCATCATGGGATCCCAAGATCCTCCACCACCCATCATGTCATAGCCCTTGCCGCCTCCCCAGCCTCCGCATGCTCCATACGGATTTCCATGTGTATCGGGTCTGGGTTCCGAGGGAGGGATGCCGCCCGAGTTGTAGAGGCTGAGGAAAGTCGCGAGGGTGCCTTCATCATGTCGATTGGGATCTTTCACACCTCCTAAATGCATCTCGCAGTAATCCCACCAGGTCTGCCTTCCATAGGGATCTGACCGCTGCATGCCCTTGATCTGCTCAACTAGCCCAGCCTTTCCCGACATTTTTGGGACGTGGTGCGGTGGCAAAGGAGAAAGCTCTACCTATATGTCCTTCGGCCTCTGATGTCTGCGAGAAGCAAAGCAAATGAGTTTGAGAAAGTTTGAGCATCTGAATCAGAGACGGCCCTACCTTTGGCCCTTTGGCCATCCACGTGGAAAACCCCCGTGTCATTCAATGGGGTTCATCTTAGTTCATCCACTTCCCTGGCTTTCGCAGCTCACATGCTTCAATAAAGACGAGCGATTAAAACATGGCAACAGCACGTGCCAGAGGCACATGAAGCACAGCAGGAATGCGCAGCAGGGATGCGGATACCACAAGGGTATGGTACAAAAATAGTGGTTGTCAAATCAAAAGGATGTTACACGTTTTTTTTCCTCCATTTCTGAAACGCCGTTCTAAAACAGCAAAAAACCTACGAAACAACAACTGGTGCAAAACTGCGAGGCTCGCCGCACCTCTTGGCATAGGACAGGATCTGGTCTCGCAGCCAGGGGCCCACATCTGCCAGCTTCTTATTGCCGCCTGCATCGCCTCGGGCAAAAAGCGTCCAAAAATGGCAAAGTTCCATAAATTTCCAGCTTTTCCAACACCATCTAGATGTTCGGTTCTTTTTCTTGCTATCTAAGCTGGGTGGTCCAGGTTGTTGGATTAAGACCCTTGAGACCGCAAGACCATTTCAATCCGAAGCTGGAGTGGAACACTGCTACTTTAAGCTTCTCCTTGAACGTGACGTCCGACAACATGAGAGAATCGACATTTTATGCATGAAAATCAGAAGATTTTCTCAAAATTAGCATTCACAAAAACAATCAAAAACATACACGAAAATGACCTAGAACACACACACTAACATAGTGTCATAGTATGTGTCCCACATAATATATGTAATTACTAATTACTTGATTGTATTTCACGTATTTCTATATGCCTCGATGTATGCAACACAAATACCGGCATACCGCTGGTCAAAGTCGCGTTCCCCACTGCTCTTCAACAAGGTGTCACCGCATCCCTCGGCCACCACGATCACCGCCTCACGCGAAGTGCTCAAAAAATCGACCCATGGAAGCCATGCATCTTAGGGGACAAACAAAAAGAGTATCTTTGGAACCACCCAAAAAATAGAACATCTTAACGATTCTTAACGTGGCAAGTTCAATTTCATTGTCATAGCATGTCACAGCCTATACTTCTTGAACAATGGTTACATGATGTTGCATGATTACAACGCAATACACCATAATATTGCCTACAATTCTATCTCAGAAATTCGTTGTAACTATACCCGATTGGGGGTTGACTGTTTGCGGCGCCGGCGATGTGACTTCCGTCCATTTTTCTGTGGGATTTTCCATGACCATCCAGATATTGGGGTACCTCGGTACCATTTATAAACACCTGATGAAGGGTGAATTCTCCCAGAGAGGAATGGAAAGTAACAGACATCATCAGACATCTGACCCCCCTCCCAGGCAGTTGTTGGCTTCGGGTTGAGACAATTGACAATTAGCCACGCAAGTAACTGCATTCCCGTGGGGAGAAGGAGATAATGGGACATATAACTTATCATATAACCCAAACGAATATAGGGCAAGCACAAACAAGGCATGGCAAAGAGAGCAGGACGACACTACGCAGAGAAGAATGGTTGATGTGGTACACATCCATAGTACAAACCACTCCTGCTTTAAGGTTTATAGTGATAAAAGCATCTAAACGGTCAAATTTGGACTGCTGTATTTTTGAACTTGCCACATTGTAAGCCACTTTTTGCCATAATGTAGCACTCTTACCTGCAGTATACAGATGATGTCCCCAAACAAAACCTTCAAAAAGAAGAGAAACAAATGACATGGCAAAGATCGTTGATCAGAAACTAATGCGTATTAATACTGTCGCAGTATCAGTCAATGTATCAGCCCTAATCATCAATCCAAGTGACAATCACAGTAAATGGCTCCAACATCTTGTCATGCACCCACATCTGGGTAAATTATAATATTTCACTAGCCTGAATAGTTTGGCCACCCATCTTCCCATGCGCCGGCCGTACCCCCGCAAGCAGCCTGAATAGTTTGGCCATTTGGGGATGATTTCCCTTATCAACCATGATTCCAGGGTTCCGGAGAATAGTGAGGTCGTTGTAATTTACCCAGCCACATGTATCCACACGAAATACCAAAATCCACTGGTTTATCACCATATTTCCTGTTCAAAATGGTCAAATTTGTATAGCCCATTTTCAAACAGAGCCAAACCTCCTGAAATAGGGGTACCCCCAGTTGTCATCCATTTTAGTGGGATGTTCCATTATAAACCATCCAACTATTGGGGTACCACCATTTATGGAAACCCCCATACTGAAGAAACATCCGAGTCCAGCATGTTTTTTCCGGATCCCGGGGATCCAAACGTGTCCCTTGGTCTTCATCAGGTGCATGCAGTAGCTCAAGACCCGCGGCAACGAGACGTCCATCTCGGGCAACAGGCATAGATCAACGCTGCCTCGGCGGGGCACCATGGCACCCGGGATGGGGAAATCATGGGTGTTCAAACCCTGCAGAAGTCGGACTTTTAGATCAGTTGTGGGACTTAGAAACCAACTTAAATCAACTTAGCTAGAATCTTGGGGGGGCCAACTTGTGAAACAAGTTGAAATATCAATATGTAAGGACTGATTGCTGGATATTGCTGGTTTCGACCCATCTGGAAAAAATGCTTGCTGAGGTCATTGGGGATCGTCATCCCAGCTATTAACATGTGAAACCGCCAGCCAGTACAGGTCTGAATACTTGGAATACAGCATGGATATATTATGAATTTCTTAATCTTGGGATATCTTGGCTGGAAAAGCGTCCCAAATTTCGCTGAAACGACACATTTTCTTAGTTGAAGGTCTGAATAAAGTATTGTAGATATTTCAATCTCGGCTGGGACAGCCCGAATATCTTCTACAGACGGAAGGATCCAGACATTTTAGAGAGAAACGCGCACGCTAGAACGTCTGGATGGGAAGGTCTGGCCTATACCATCCTATACCCTCTAGTAACTTAACATAGCTATTGACTATGGCCCATTTAGTTCGTTGGTTTACCTAAAGATGGTGATTTTCCATAGCTTTTTGTATGTTGAGAGGGTACCAGTCGTTGCACAGCTGTAGCAATCCATATCAATCCACATAGGCCTTCACAGTTCACCCTGAGGATCCCCGCGAGCAGCCAGGGTGGCGTGCAATGCGATGAAACCACAGTGACGACCTGGGACACGGCCATGGAGGCCATGGGTCAGCTGAGGATCTCGATCGAAAATCCATGAAAATCCACTCTTCACCCATCAGTTTCCTGAAAAAACTGGCGCCATGAATTGATGCAAATCCGTGACAAGTTGTGGCATATGTGTGGCATATCTGTGGCATATCGCATGCGAACCAACCCTGGTCCCCCGAACCCATGAGCTTCACCAAGCCGATGCAATGGGAGTTGCAAGTTGCCTCCACCTCAGTGAGGAAATTATTTGGTGAACATACCCGGGTGGAGAAAACACATTTCAGGTCAGTACTATATGTTAACTAAATATCTCAAATGATATCCTAGGTCCGAAAAATCCTGGTTATCCTGGTAATATGATCAAATTTCCTGGTAGGTATCCATGTTATCCTCACTTTTCCATACTTTCCCCAGATCTTTCTGGATGTTGGTGGCCAATCCCGCCCTTTCCGCGATCCAGGAGGCGTAAGCCGAAGAGATGGCACGTTCCGCCTCGCTACAGGCGGTGTTGAAACCAAAGGACCTGGCGGTGATGCGATGCAAATGTCAATGGGAATTCCAGGATCCTAAAATGGAGGTACATATTAATTAATGGTGGGCTTAATGGACATTAATGAGATTTATATATATTTATATGGTTTATATTGATTTATATGATCTGGTTGGTGGTATACCTACCCCTCTGAAAAATATGAAAGTCACTTGGATTATGACATTCCCAATATATATTATATATATATATGGAAAAAGAAAACATATTCCAAACCACCAACCAGGGTACGTTAGTACCATATTTCCGACCATAGTTTCTGGGGATATTCCCGGAAAAAAAGGCCTTATATATGGTAGGTACCTCCAATTTAGGTACCTGTGGCCATTGATCAATGGCTTCTGGATATTGATATATGGATATACCCTCCGGTAAACATACAAAAAATATGGAAAACCACCATTCTGAAAATGGGTAAATCAACTATGTGGTAATTATCTATGTCTATGGATATCTGATATCTATTTGATATCTATGATCATCCAATGTTTATGGATATTGATCAGCAACACAATGTTCTTCAGCTTATGATATCTATGTCAATGTCATTGGATGCGATCAAATGGCATCTACTATCATCCACCCAAAAAGATAGAAAAGTGATGAAAAGTGATGAAAAGTGTCAAACCAGGATGGTAGTTCATTGATGTTTCCTTTATATTTTCCAGGTTTTAGGATCTTTTCGGCATCTCAAACTGGCTGATTTGGGCTGCAGTTGGGGTTTAGAAATGGGCAGAATTTTTTCGGTAACTCCCATAGCTTGGGATATGTTGGGATGTAACCCCTATCATCCTAAAACTGACTGTGATATTATATCTATATATTATATCTACATATATATATATATGTGTGTGGACCACCTGAAAAGATGTAAAACTTCTAAGCGATGGTTTGGCTGTTTCGTTTCTACTGACTCGTTTTTTCAATCATGAACTGGATTTTCCAATTCAGCAGGGGGGCTGGTTGTCCATGCAAGTACCAGCCCAACGAAGAGGCTTGCATGAGACACTGATATCACTGGAGACGTCCAGTGACGTACCTGCCAATTTTCAGAAATGGGAAGAGGCTCAACCCAAGAACCTCCATGGCGTCCAATTGAAACTTACGGTTTCTGCACTGTTGTCGCAATCTGGATCTATTTTGGTCATTTACGAATGGTTCAGCTGCATCAGAACTGTCTTCAGAGCAAGGGCGTAGAAAGTATTCTTCTAACTGAATTTCACGCTGGGTCAACCAATTTTTCCTGTCAGGTTTTACTGAATTGTTTGTGCACGTGAGATGCATTCCACAACAGAAATTCGCAATGATGTTTCTGAACAAGTGTGTCATTCCTGCTGTGTACGTCAAGTTGGCAGGAACCCTTCGGGGAAAGCCTTTCCAGGCTAACAATTGACAGTAAAACGATGTCTGAATTTGCACTTTTGAATTAGTAATTCGTCTAAGTAAAGTGAACTGCTGGCCTTTTTTCCGATTCTCACCTTGTCGATGTCGATGCGTTGAACTGCCTGCCGCTGTGCCTGGCCTCACCTTTTTTGTCTGAATTTACACTTTTGAATTAGTAATTCGTGTAAGTAATGTGAAACAGTCGGCCTTTTTTCCAGGTCTCACCTGTCGATGTCGATGTGTTGAACAACATGCCGCTGTGCCTGGCTTCACCTTTTCTTTCATGATCAGGCAACAGGACTTGCTTTAGGTGTGGTTTTTCTTTCTTTTTATGGTCGTTGGTGAGGTTCAATTGTGCACGTAATTCAGGGGTTGAACACGTAAGCCGTCCAGAGGGTTGTGACTTGAAAGCCGAGGGCCTTTGAGCCTTATCACGAATCTTGCATGAGTTGTGGATGCATCATGTCAGTAACTAGTTCCCCATGGGTCCCTATTTCATGTGTTCTTGCGTTCTCCTCTCTCCAGGTAGGTTTGGCCCGTTGCGTGCTGAGGTTGTTGTAGGTTTGCGCCGTGTCAGGTTGGTTCAGGCGCTTCTGTCTTCCCCCTCCTCCGCTGGTCTTGTTCCGTTTTCCGTCGGCCTCCGCTTTTCTTTTCTTTTCCCTTGCCTTTCCAGGGTTGCCCGTTTTGGGCTAGGTTTCATGTGTTGGTGTTTGCTCTTTCCCTCTTCTTTTGCGTTCCCCTCTTTGCGTCCTGGTTAAGTAACTTTCATCTCATTGTCATCTTCACCTCATTTTTATTTCCCTTCTTCTTCATTTTCATCTCATTGTCGGGACCTTAGTTGCCAAAACAGCCTCGCGGCAGCGAGGCGTGTGTGTGGACCATCTGAAAAGATGTAAAACTTCTAAGCGATGGTTTGGCTGTTTCGTTTCTACTGACTCGTTTTTTCAATCATGAACTGGATTTTCCAATTCAGCAGGGGGGCTGGTTGTCCATGCAAGTACCAGCCCAACGAAGAGGCTTGCATGAGACACTGATATCACTGGAGACGTCCAGTGACGTACCTGCCAATTTTCAGAAATGGGAAGAGGCTCAACCCAAGAACCTCCATGGCGTCCAATTGAAACTTACGGTTTCTGCACTGTTGTCGCAATCTGGATCTATTTTGGTCATTTACGAATGGTTCAGCTGCATCAGAACTGTCTTCAGAGCAAGGACGTAGAAAGTATTCTTCTAACTGAATTTCACGCTGGGTCAACCAATTTTTCCTGTCAGGTTTTACTGAATTGTTAATGCACGTGAGATGCATTCCACAACAGAAATTCGCAATGATGTTTCTGAGCAAGTGTGTGTAAAACTAGAACTGCACATAACTGCACCCGCAAAAGATAGAGACGTTGGAAGCCTGGTACCTGTAGGACAAACATGGAAAAACAAGGTCTATATCATCCTGGACATACTTTACGGCATCTTTTTCAGAGTTGCATGGAAATCTCCCACCAATTCTGGGTATAGCTGGACTCTGGATTCGGCGGATGTCATGGTTTCCAAACGGTGTTGAGGGGGACCAATAGGATGGACCATACAGACATATTTGAGTCCATTAGCCGGATACAGACATGTAACTTCTGTAATCTTCTGCAGAACTGCACACATGCAGCAACATAAAGATGACGATTTTTGGAAGATGATCATCAACAGCAGCATTTGTAGGTCCTTTAAAAGGGAAGCCAAAAGAGGGCTCTTAGCCATCTCCAAGCCCTCCGTGGGCTGCTGTTGGTCACTGGGAAGGCACGCCTGTCCAAGACGGGGATGTCATTGTCGATCGTCTTGGGCACGCCCACCTTGGCTTCGGGTCTGTCGGCAAAACTTTCCTCCAAAAGAGATCAAACACCCATTGGTTGCCGTGCCTTAACGCTTCCGGGGTCATCTTCACCTTCACACCACCAGTACCCTCCGGTAATTTAACTATGGAAAATGTTGGAAAATGACCCTCAGTTGGAGATGATTTGCATGGGTTTAACGATAAACATTATGATTTTCAATTGCTCCTGGTGAAAGTATGTGAAATTCCCCAGGAGATCCCGGATCCCGCCATGTCAAGGATCCACTGCCACTTCATGTTCAATCTCTTTGGTGCATCTGAAGGTTTCAAAGGCTCCTGGCCAGGTCCACATGGTCCACGACCATGGATGACCATGGATCCATGGACAGCGAGTTGATACCCGGCCTGGTAAACGTAGCCACATAACAATGGAAAAAAACACCATGCTATTAATAGAGCAATCAACTATTTCTATGGGCCATGGCTTCAATAGCTATGTTAAATTAAATTACCAGAGGGTACCTTGATACTTGAAACATCTTGGAAGCAAAAGGGCACCTGCTTGGGTGCCATCTCCGCCGATGACAAAGTACTGCTTGATGTTCCTCACGGTGGTTTCCATCAATGGGGGTACCCCAATAGTTGGATAGTTTATCATGGACAAGCCCTTCAAAATGGATGAGAACTGGGGTACCCGCATTTTAGGAAACCTCCAGGTGTCTCTCAGTGAAAGTGCCACAATGCCAATCACATCCAATCACCAAATGCAATTAGCTGCCTTTCTTTCCGACTAATGCATGTTCAAACTCAAACTATGACTGTAGCATACTATAGCAACGGGCTTTGTGCCAATGAGCGTCTTTTCTTGGAGCATCTTGGCGATGTCCATGTGTGGAGGATTCCCTGCAAGGATGAAATAGTAAGATCTACCAAGATCGAAAGCTCTTTTGATGGATCTGATGGGTGTCTACCGGCGCCTCGGTCGCTGACTAAGATGGTGCCGCCCTTCTTGTGGATGTCTTGCACCACGTGTGGGGTCAACTTCATCCATGTCTCTGGCTTCACCATGCCTCCATCATGCGTCCAGCTGCTACATAATTACTCCATAAGAATCATGGGAGTTGTGACGTGATTGGATCACTTGTGTAAGGGGTTTCCAAGACAAAAATAGGGAGATTAAGACGATGTATGATATACACTAATATAATATTAATATATGGGTACCCATATATATATTATAGATACAGTATATGGGGGCTTCGTCACACCAAGAAGACACAGGCAGCAAACATACCGACCATTCCGAAAATACCTGGTGCTGGGCCGGAGGTGCACCCCACCTTTATATCCCCCAACGCATCCGAAGACATTCTTTACGCCATAGGCTGTCAGCGTCATGACCTAAGAGAGCACCATTTAAATGGCATATCAGGTCCAATATGGTCCAATATGACAATATCAATATGTTGATTTAAAATGATTTAAATGGTCCTGCTGCTGTTTCCCAGGGGCTTGTGACCTTTTTTCACAAAATTGACACCTTGGTTTTAGATGCTTTCAGAGGATTGTACCTGGGCGCAGGTTGAGTTCTGATTTCCCTCAAGGTCCTCCCAACCTTTGAGCACCAGGCAATTTCACGGATGACCTTAAGACGCGTTCATGGAATCGGGGGCGAAGGGAGGTGCTTCAAGGGGTATATCATGGTATAAATATGGTATATCTATGTTGGCACATGTTGGCTGGACAGTTTTCCTCGCCAAAATTGTTGGAATAGCTGGAGGAGACCTAGAATCCGATCCAACATATGATTAGGATTGATCTTGACTCAACGTATTCTGGTTGCTGGTTTCAAGCTCTGAAATATATGAGTCAGTTGGGATGACATGACATTCCCAACATATGGAAAGTCATAAAAGTCATGTTCCAAACCACCAACCAGTAGTTGATGTGTTGGATATGGCCATTTCCGTTGCAGATCAACTAGAGGGACCAAAAATTCATCCAGCATCCGGATGGCCATCCGGTGCTGCGCTTGAGCGCACGCTGCTGTGACAAGAAGCCATCCGTCCATGTCCTAATTCCATCTAGCCTCTGGTAATCAGATGTGGCAATGGAACATACCCCATAAAAATGATTTTATGATGTTTTATATACATGATTTTACCATATGTTACCATTAAAACATATTAAAACCTCCATTTTTGATGGGGATTCTCCAATTGCCATGTTTACCAGAGGCGAATTCAGTATGGCAGGGAACGCCCCGCCGGCCCCGCTGGGCTCCGGAACGGAATTCAGTCCCGGGCACAGGCCTGGCAGTTGAGCATATTTCAGCCCTTAAAAAATCGTTCATCCATGAAAGTGTAAGTAAATCATGTCGAAACCAGAAGGAACATGAAGGTTTCACACATTGGGATGTTTAAAATCCTCTTTAATCTATCCGAATCTAACCCTTGCAAGATCGAACATGAGGTCGATAAAACATGTTGAAAGTACCCAGCCAATGCAGTGGATGCTGATGGTCCAGCCGCTGTCCCTGACTTGTGGGTTTAGCCGCCCATATCCAACCAAAATAACATGCTTGCTAATGTGGGCCAAGCGAGGCCGGTAAGGGTAAGAAAAGCAGGCATACATATGCATATATCATCTAAATTTCTAAAACCATTGGTTGGAAACTGTCATATGACGTAAACAACCAGGCTGACTCATTCCCGACAGCCTCCACAGGTCACAATGACGGCAGAGCTGTTGGCTGGGTCCTGATTGGGCTGGGTAGGAATGCCATGGGGCTGAATGAAAGGACCATTCTTCTGGCGCAAGCTGTCAGGATGTAGGGATATGCTCGTCATTCCATTAATGATCTTTCATCCTTTTGACTTAATAGGTCAGGAATGGTCAGATTGGTTGCTGCCAGGTGCATAGAAGTACTTGAGATGCACCGTTGACAATCGCACCTGAAAACCCAAGCACAGCAGGCCTCAGTTCTACCCCTTCAGCGTATCCCCAACTGTGCATCCCTGCGAAGTGAAGTGTCTTACGAGGTCCACTTCGCAGAAGCTGCAAATAGTTCTGAGAGGCAGTGCAATGTCGCAGCATGGCCCCACGGGCCCCAAAGCTCTGAGTTTGGAAACTTGCCCAACTGAATGTATTGGATAGACATCATATTATGGATATACGTCACTGGTGACTCAGGGATACTCAGGGTATAGGCAAACAATCGCAAAAACCTTATGTAAATGGAAATCTTCCCAGCTGTTGGTCATTGAGGCAAAATTTCAACCATCAGCTCTGCCCCCATTGAATGGGAAATTCAGCAGTTTCCCCAGCAAACAATCATGTTTGCACGATCCAGTACTCAGCATAAACCCTCCGGTCATTTGCTACATAATGATGGATAAATTATAATATTTCACTAACCTGAATAGTTTGGCCATTTGGGGATGATTTCCCTTGCTATCCATGATTCCAGGCTTCGGTCGCAGTGAGGTCGTGATCAACTTTACCCAGAAAAAATGCAATATCTACATCAGCTATGGAAGCATATGGAAGCCGTGGCCCATTGAATTTCGGTGCAAATTGCCGTTGCCATCTGGGGCCATGGGACCCTTCCACGGTCGTCCCGGCGGTTGTGGCGCATCAAGGTTTGCGTGGACCAACTGTCCGGCCCCATGGCCTCCGGAGGAGCCGTGTGCTCTCCGTGTGCTCCGTTTCAATCCTCAAAAAATGGGCTAAGATCCCAGCCATTTCCCCTGGGAACTTCAGCGAGTTCGCCACCTTGCCGCGGAAATCTGAAATGATTTTTTTTGCCGGGGCTTCTCAGAGGCTTTGATCAACTTCCAGAGGTAAATCCCACCTTGGCAGATGGGAAGTTGTCTCCCAAATTCACCACCTGGCGATGGCGAACCCCATGGGTCACATTCTACACAAGTCAAAAGGGGCTAACCTCTAATTGAACATGGTCCATTTCCAAGTGATTGACCTACGAAATTATGCTACCCTCTGGTCAACCAACATAGCTATGGACAATCACCATTTTTAACAGGTAAATCATCTAAAAATAGGCCATCTATACCAGAGCGATGGGCCACGAGTCACGAGTGAACTGACAGAATTTTCCCAGCGTTACGACCTCATGTCATCCTCCAAGTTTTGGGGGGCCAAGTTTTGGGTGACAAAGCACAGCATGGGTGAGTCTGAAATGCTCATCACCAATGGGAATCTGTGATCCAATCAATCAATCAATCAATCAAGCAATCACTCTTGATCATAATCTATCAAACATCCGCCAATCAAGATCAGCCGAATCTGTCCACCCATCCGAACTCCAAAATCCATCCTAAAAATCAAAGAACGTATCTAAAATCTATCTAACAATATCTAAATATATCTAACATTAAATCCAATGCTAGGAACAAAAAAAACTCAAAATCCACAAACATTGCCTCACCGCGTGGCACCTGCAGGCGTCGAATGGTGTCACCTGCTTGGAGTACCTCGTTGATACTGCTCTCCTTGGAAAGGGCCTGCCGTTGAAGCCAATTCATAGAAGTGGTGATAAGCGGTGCCTTTTTGAGGGTGGGAACGATGTCCATCATGTGGTTCACCAGCAAATTCTCTGATTTTCTATGGGAGATTTTGGGCGGAATTTGGAGATTCACCACCGGTTTTTAGGTGATTCACCACCATTACTGGGAGGAGTGAGTTGGCAAATGTGGCAGAACAAACATTTCGAACCATTCAGGTTTTGATAAAGCCATGATGAAGTAATGAAATAGGGTCACAATGGGTCACACCTGACTTCACGACGAAGGGCTTTCGACAAATTTCGGCTGGTAGCAGCTTATTGGGATCAACAAATGCCATGGCCAACCTTGTGCAATTTCCCGACGTCACTTGTGTCACTTGTGTTCTTGCCCCGGGTGCATCAGGACCCCCGTTTACCGTTTATTTATGCTAAGTTGAGGCAAATAACTTGGCTAGTCAAGTGTTTTATGGGGATATAACATGATATAACTAGTAACTATACTTGATGGGGTTTATAATTACAAGCCAACTAGTGGCGGGCCTTGCAACCACCATGACCCAACAGCATGGCTCACTGAGATGGGGTTGGAACCCCCTGAGACCGCCCTTCCAAACATCAGCTGTGGCCCTTTTCGCGCATGTTTGCAATCATCCTGGGCCTCCGAAACGATTCTTCGATTGGTATTTCAAGTATTTCATCGGAACATCTTGGAACCACACTGGCAACCAACTCAAAAATTTGTCTCCGAAAGCTATGGCCGATGGTTTCAACAAGCGAAATGGGTCTGAGAATAGGGAACGCCCAAACATTGCTGGCATATCATCAGCTACCCCCTGAGAATCACTATTTTTGGATTATTTTGGGCTATCCCACGGTACCCCTCATTTAAGACAAAGCCATATCATCCCATTTCATCCCATGTCAATTGTTTTTGTACATCTCGGAAGCCCAGGGAAGCCCAGGGATGCCCAGGGAAACCCAGGGATCAGTCTGGGTGGTACCTGAGGGCCCTCAACCTAAATCTTCGCTTCCACGCTTTGTAACGTCTTTCACGGTGGCCATGACGACCCCCATGACCTGCGGCTTGAGACTCTGACGGTGACTGGGCGGCATTTCTTGAGCTTTTGGGAATCCTGTGACAACCCTTGGCATCGTGGAGCCATGTGTGGTCCACAGAAGAGGGATAATTCTACATCCGCTAATTTAAAGATAGAAAATGGATTGAACATGGACCGTTTATTAAAGATTGCAATTGTCCATAGCTGAGTTATGCTGAGTTAAATTCCCAAAGGGTACCTCTTTTGGAGGGCTGACAGCGGCTGACATATCTGCCCGACCGTGCATGGTGATGACATTTTCCCCGGCCTGTGATGGACAGCAAGGAACTGCGCATAGATCGGTGCCAGAAGATGTTGAGAAACAGCTGCCAGTCACCTGACACCGGGTCGACCTTTTTGGGGTTGAGACATGTTGAGATCCAAAATAAGCCGCAGAATCATAAGCTGTTCAAAGTTGGGAAAGTGTGGGTTGAACCCACTACAATCTCCCAAAACAATCCGCAAATATCAAAAGTATCCACGAATCAACAAGGTTTGGTCATTTTCAGCCTCAATCCATCCAACTCATTGAAATTTGATGTGCTGACCATGCTTGCACCAGCTCCAACAACTCACCAGTCCTAGTGAAATTGATCAACTATATAATATGTATTAATATGTATATATGACATGCGTGTGTGTTTATTTATTTTAATTAACATTAAATTCAAAAACTTTTTTCTTGGCAGTATGCTCACTTTTGATGGTACGCTAAGAATTTAAAACCATTATGGTTAACACTAAGTCGCCAGATTCCCTCATACTACGAGTGACTGGTG